TTTTTTTAACTCTGGTTTTCTTAGACGATTTACCAAATGGACTTATACAGTTGAAAAATATTTTGGAAATTTATTTTTATGAAATGGCTAGTGATGCTTTACAACATTGTAAAGGCAAATTGAAAATTAAATTTATTATCAATATTCATGAACAATGTTTAAAAATTGTCTCAGCAACTCCCAATAATAAACAAATTTTCATCGATTGTTTAGATAAAGTAAGACCATTTTGATTTCGTTTTTTTTTGTTTATTTTTATCTGTATTTACATATTACAGGGTTTTCGAAAATTCATTAAAAATAAAGTAGTGTCAACCAATACTAATTCGCTTAAGTTAGCTAGACTATTAGCTGAATATACAGATTTTCTTCTTCGGCAAAGGTTTGCTTAATTTATGTTATATTTTACGATAAACAATTTTCTTCTTGTAGAAATAAAATTGTTGAAGATACTGATTTTCAAGAAAACATTAATAAAATTATGGTAATGTTGCATTTTTTAATCTGTTTTCTCAATAATAACGGGTGCGGCAGAAATAATGGCCGGCTTTTGATAGGCTGCTTTTTTTCCAACTTAGACTGAATGAAAAAGTTTCGTTCTGATGTCAAAAGATAGAAAATTTTGTGTAGGTCTTATTGATATGTTTTTTGAGAAATGAATATTTGTTCTTCTCTTGTAATAATAAAGATACTGGATACTACAAAAACATCATTTGCTCAACTGCAAAATGAGATATTTTTGAACTGAAGTGTTTGCCCTGTTAATTATACTTCAAAAATTTCTTATTGCTACTAAGTGATGCAGAATTTTTCGGTGTAGTATTTAGTAGTGTCTTGATCGTTTTAAGCTTAATTGTTTCTGCTTGAAAAATCACAAAACATCAAGAAAATACCCTCGTTCAATGCAATCGTACTTTTCGTTGCTAATTTTCTTAAAACTTAGTTTTACAAAAACTATTCTTTTTATATCAATAGATGTAGAATTTCAAGCTCTACAAAATACTCTTCAATGTAAAGGATGAATTCCTTTCCTAAACTAATGATGAGTCTGAGATCTTTTGCCTGACATAAAAAAGGCACCGAAAATGGAGAATTAGGCATTTTTTGCAAGCGATTTTTCGGATAACGAAATTTCATCCACAGATTTGGTATTGGGTCTCAAATACAGTCACATCTCTGTACTTTATAGTATTGCGTTTGAATAGTGTATGTAAAACTATTGAACACAATGAAAATTAACCCTTTATTTCCATAAAAACGCCGAGCAAATGATGTTTTTGCAGTATCCAATACTTTTAATATTACAAGAGAAGAACAAATACTTATTTCGCAAACAACATATCAATAAAATCTCCACAAAATTCTGTATCTTTTGACATCAAAACGAAACTTTTTTATCCAGTAGTCTAACTTGAAAAAACAACCTATCAAAAGTCGGCCATTATTTTTGTCGCACCTGTTACGTGTAAACCATTAAAAGTTCTAGTGAGCTCTTTGTTTCGCTATACTCAACTCCCGGACGTTGTTTTCATTTTATAACACCAAGGATGTTTTGTGGGTCCTATCAGACCCACATGTAAAATGAATAGAAAGAACTTGTTTTTTTCCATCTGATTCATCCTAGATACGCATGAATCGAAAATCTTTACCATAATCTTGTAGAGACGAATACATCGGTATGAGTCCTGACGTCTGTAAACGTTTGTAGTTAAAAGACTTATCGCCTCAGGAAAGCTAATGATAATAGTAGGCTACTGAAATATTGTTAGAGAAATTGTAGATCTAATTATAACACAAACTAGTAAATTTTCTCATGTATACGCTTTCATTCTTGTCTGAATTGCAGCAACAGAATTTGGCTTTGTATTCATTTTATTAATGGCACGCAAATGATTGTGAGCTGTATTTGTCTGTATTGACCACGATACATCATCTTTTTCTATAAATTGAAGTTGAATATTGATCGATACATTTTCACCACTGACACCAGAATTCGATGAATCATCTTTCTTCGAAATGCATTCATTAGCAAATGTGTCATCGGATTCAGTTCCAGAAAAAAACAATCAATATCAGAGTCTAATTCGTTGTCCTTAGCTATGTTGTCATTTAAATCGTCACTATCATTTGTGATAAAAACCTCTCGAATTCCTTTTAGATTTGGTTTAGCGATCATTTTTATCTGTAGAATTAGAAAAATGTAAGACTTTCTACGCTAGAATAATTTTTTGAAAGCCTTAAGATATATCTTACTTTCGAAGAAAAAGAAAGAAATGATGATAGAAGTGTTTCAATAGAAATATATTCACAACAGTGAGACAACAATGAAAAAAAATATATGGGTCACCATTAACGATGACGAACGAACGAGTCTTCCAAAAAATAAATTCTTAAGACGACAGCGGGCAACTTCAGCAAGACTAAAAGCCATATCTGTGACAGGAGAGTGTTATGGAGTCCATGTGGACACACCCTCCAATTTTTTGCCTGTAAGATCTATTTATAAAACTTGATATAGATGTTGTGCATCGTTAGAAGCGTAGCAATTAGAAAAAAAAAGATTAGTTCACAAAGATAAGTATTGACGTAGTGGAAGACGAAAAACTCCAATGCAGATCCAACTGGACCTACAAATACCATCCAAGGGTCAAGCATGCTAATGCATTTGATATGTTAATATGCCTCTTTACAACAAAAATAATATTCTCCTTTTCTCCTCTTTTTTTTTCAAAGACAATTCTCCAAAAACTTCTTTCAAAAATTCTCCTCTTTCCTTCTTTTCCTCAATGACTGTTCACGTACCAGTATTGAGTATTTTTATCTTTAGATTATCTATAATTATCTGGAAGATAAAGATATCTTCGAAAAGATTTACAATAAACTCTTGGCAAAACGTTTAGTCAATCAATGGCATACTTCGAATGATAATGAAGAATTAGTTATTAAAAAATTACAAGTGAATAAATTATTGCATTAATAAAATGTTTGTTTGAAATGATTTTTTTTTGTTTTGCTTTTATAGGTAGTACATCATTCGGAACATATTTTAAAAATGCAACAAGTATTACAAGATTTTTATTTAAGCAATAATATAACTAATGAATATCAATTGTATTGTAAAAAACAAAATTTTTCTAGTATAAGTAGATAAATATGAACATCATATATTCTAGAGTTTTATTCTATACTCATTTTATTAGGGTTCTCTGTAATGGTTTTTAATTCTCATTCATTTTCATTGTGTAATTCATCAAGTCTTACTTTACCAAATAAAGTAATTTACTAATGATTATCTATGATGATTAATCAAAAGAAAAAAATTTATATTTTAGCTTGAACGAATACTTAATAGTTTCACTGAATTTTATAATTGTTATCATACTGGACGAAAATTAATTTGTCTTTATGAATATTCAAAAGGTGAAATACAAACATTGTTCACTAAAGAAAAATATTATTTACAAGTAAGAATGTTGTTTTTATTCTATTGAATATTTTCATTTTTTTCTTCATAACTAAAGGTATCGACATATCAAATGACTATAATCTTATTATTCAATAATATGTCGTTGTGGAAAGTTAAAGATATTGAAGATCAAACAGAAATTAATACAAAATTATTATTACAAATTCTGTGTGGTCTATTGAAAAGTAAATTGTTTATTTGTACAGAATTTGATCAAAATAAAGTTGAAGAAGATTTAAAAGAGACAGATATTAATACAAATTACACAATTAAATTAAATGATAGTTTTACCAGGTAAAAACAATTATTTTATTATTTATAAACTTTCTATTTTCTAAATTTTGTTTTAGTAAAAAATGTCGAATAAAGTTAAATAAACCAGTTGAACCAAATGATACTGAAGCTTTAGTTAAAGCTATTGATAGAGATCTTAAAGTTGGGGTGGGTGGGTGTGGGTGTGAGTGTAGGTCCTTGTTAAAGAAAAGATTCACACTCACACCCACACCCCATCCACACCCACACCCCACCCCCACCCACACCCACACCCACCCACACCTACACCCGCACCCACACACCGCACACCCTCACCCACACCCTTAAATTGGAGATATCATTTAAATCATATTGAATCAAGAATTGCTGAATGGATTGCTCTTCTACGATTTCTTTCGAGATCAACAGCTGAACCAAATAACATAATCATGTTAAACATATATAAGTCAATTGCAAGATCCATTATAACATATGAATTCCCGATGTTGCTCACAGCTAGCGACAATATATGGGAGCGACTACAGATTATTCAGAACAAAGCTATACGAGCAGCATTAGATTTACCATCATATACGTCGGTAGAATACATTCACAAAATCAGCAATATTCCAAAGAGTAAGCAATATACAATGACATTATTAAATAAAGCTATTACAATGGCACATTCAAACAACGATAACACATCGGAAACATATCTTGAAGATATACTTAATGAATTATAAAAACAACTAATACACCATTTAAAATCCTCATCATTTTTCTCGATCTTAATTTAGAGACAAAAGACATATGTCATGAGTCTCTCCGTATCTCCAGCCTTCTTTTTGTAACATCTTTATCAAAATAAAGGCTTTGAAATCCAAAAAAACACATATACACTATTAGAAGCAGAATTTAATGGAATAAGAACAATTGGACTAAAATATGATTATCCACTATGTTTTATTGACAATATTATTGGCATTAAATTATGTCAATATCGACGAAAGATGAATGGAGAATCAAAATTAACGTAATTGGATGTGATAAGAATAAAATGTATATCAAATTACCTTTTATTAGTTCTTCAACTTTAGAGTTGAAGAAGAAAATCATGCACCTGTCTAATAAACTACGACCTGATCTCGACATTCAATTCTTCGCAAGATTACTACCACCATCGATACAAGCATTCTTCCAAACCAAAGATCCACATGTTAAATATATGAAATCGGATGTAATATATTATATTAAATGCAATGACTGTGGACATTCGTATATTGGCAAGACGGAACGTCAATGTATAAGAAGATTACATGAACATGGTGCACCAAAAACAATTTATCAACAACAACAGTGCATCTATGTAAGTGATGATCTTAATGATAACAACAACATTCCAGGATTAAGAAGACCATCACGGATAAAAAGCAAATCAGCAGCAGTACCAATAACAACAGACGACGATAACAACGATAATAAGACTGCCAAGTCATCAATTACTCAACATGAAAAAGAAATAGGTCATCATATGGACTGGAGTAATTTTCAGGTAATATGGCAAGACAATCATTACTATCGTTTGTTAATTAAAAAAGCTGTTAGCGCAATCCCTTGCGGGATTAAAAATGTGAAACACGATGGACTTATTATCACTAATCAAATGAACACCATTTTGTTCCATTTCTTCATGGCAGATTTGTAGTTTACCGTTTATTTGATGCTTCAAAACTACAGTTTCTCTGTCGCAGTCTGGAATGGGTTCTGGCAGTTTTTCGTGACGGTCTGTAACAGTCTCTGGGATTATCTGTCACAGTCTGCGATGGTCTCCGGGTTTCTCTGTCACGGTCTATGATGATCTTTGTGGTTCTCTGTAGCAGTCTGTAATCGGCTCAGGGAGTTCTCTGTTACAGCCTGTGACGGTCTCTGGAGTTCTCTGTCACGGTCTGTGATGGTCTTGGGGGTTCTCTATCACGGCCTGTGATGGATTTCTGGAGTTCTCTTTCACGGTCTGTGACGGATCTTTGGAGTTCTCTGTCACGATCTGTGATGGTCTCGAGGGTTCTCTGCCACAGTCTGTGATGGTTTCTGTGGTTCTCTGTAGCAGTCTGTAATCGGCTCACGGAGTTCTCTGTTACAGCCTGTGACGGTCTTTGGAGTTCTCTGTCACGGTCTGTGATGGGGAGGGGGTCTCTCTGTCACGGTCTGTAATGGGTGCGGGGTCTCTCTGTCACGATATGTGATGGATAGGGGGTTTCTCTGTCACGGTCTGTGATGGGTAGGAGGTCTCTCTGTCACGGTTTGTGATGGGTAGGGTGGAGCGGGTTTCTCTGTCACGGTCTGTGATGGGTAGGGGGGATTTCTCTGTCACGGTCTGTGATGGGTAGGGTGGAGCGGGTTTCTCTGTCACGGTCTGTGATGGGTAGGGGGGATTTCTCTGTCACGGTCTGTGATGGGTAGAGGGGGGTCTCTCTGTCACGGTATGTGATGGATAGGGGGGTTTTTTCTGTCACGGTCTGTGATGGATCTCTGGAGTTCTCTGTCACGGTCTGTGATGGGTCTCTGGAGTTCTCTGTCACGGTCTGTGATGAATCTCTAGAGTTCTCTGTCACGGTCTGTGATGAATCTCTAGAGTTCACTGTCACGGTCTGTGATGGATCTCTAGAGTTGTGTTAGTGATTACGTTCACTTTAGTTTTATTTTATAATCATAAGGAATGAATCAATAACAATACGAACATATGTATATATATATGATGGAAAAGAGTAAAGAAAGTAGAGAGATAAAGAGAAAGAGAAAGAAATAAGAAAATATATTATGTAAGAGGAGGACAAGATGAAACAACATCATATGTTAGTGACATCCCTCTAACATTCTCCCCAATTGAAGGAAAATGTGTCCTATCCACATTTTTGAATGACTAATATCAACGAGAAGTTACATAGAAAAGAAACAAAATGTGATAAATAATAAAGTATAAATCTTAGGAAAAGAAAAATAATCATAACGTTTAGTAATAAAGTATAAATGTATAATAAACAAGGTATAACAAGTTTCACCAAATGCGAAAAAAAACAAAGAATATACGTATAACAACATATGTTTTAATATAGATAAAGACGAAAGAGAATAAGGAAAAGAAAATCAATAATGCTATAAGGTTAACAAAAATCAACTTAATGATCATGAAGAGAAAAATATGAAGACAAACTAAATGTGAAAAAAAACTTTTTTTTTTTTTTTTTTTTTTTTTTTTTGTTTATCAGTTTCACCAATGAAGAAACGAAAAAAACTAGGATGTGAAAGAAAATCACATGAGAAAAAAAAAATACATAAATCAAAATAACGTATAAGGAATGACAAAGTGAAAATGTATAGATTTTTCAAAAATGTTGAAAGACAAAATTAAGTATCAGAATGAGATTCAGTTCAATGAGATCGAAGAAAAAAATGTTCTAATATGTAAATTGTTAATAATGATAATAATATCTGATCGTTATTGTACGTTTTTTAATGGCTTGAAATAATGTTAATTAATGCTCGTAGATGAATGTAAATGTAAATGTTTTAATAAATATATTAATATATATCGGAGATTAATATTGATATTAATGACGATTTCGATAAGAATTATGTCGATGTTGTTGAAGACGATGATAATGTTTTGTTGTAAAAAAATGTTTTGTTTGTGCTTTATAATCTTCAAGAAGTGATGGTTCACGAATACCGACGTATAATTGTTTTTTATTTGTTTTTCTTGATATCGATGTATTAACTGCATTAGCATCGAAGGAGATGTTGTGTTGTCGAAGAATATTTTTGATTTTTCTGATGGTAAATCGACGATCGATGTTCTTGAAGATCAATTCGTGTTTGTAACAACGCTGTCGTTGACGTAATGTGCATGTTTTATTGTGGATCTTTTTCTTTTGTTCAGGTGTTAATTCTGTATGTACTTGAGGTGGATGAGTAGATATTGATTGTTCACTTGATGGATCAAATGTTATTGGATTATTATTATTGGATGATGTGAAATTCCAATCAGGTGAATTTGTTCGTGCATAAGTAGATGATGGAATTGAATCAATTTTTGTTAATGAAAATTGAGAATTATTTATAGAAATTTCTGTAGATGGAGCATTTGTTTCAATTTCTGATGAATTTTTATTGGTTGAATTATCATGATTTGTAAAATAAAATTTTCGTTTATTTGATTGATGAACAGTAGGTTGTTCGATTGAAAAAATATCATCACCATCATCAATTGATATAATTGGTGAAAGTTCAAAATAAACAGATCGAGTATTTTCATTTGAAGATATAAATTTGAATTTATTATTTTTCATCGATATGATAATTCTTTGCATTGAGAGACAGTCATATAATGCATATGTAGTAAGTTGTTGTCGATGATTTTTTTCACTGGAATTCATGTGCTGAAGATTTGGATCAAGACCAATATCAAAACTTTGATTTGTTAATACTTTTGAAAGATATTCGTGTAATTCCAGTGCTACCGAATCTTGGAGAGACCAAGTTTCTGATGGTTGTTTTCCTAAACAACTTTCACAAATACAAATATCATTTTCTTCATTTGATTTATGGATGTGTTGTTGATTCCAATATGTTTTAAATTGATCTTATAAATTAATTAAATTTATTCCATCAATTTGTTCATATGAAAATAATTTAAATGTAATAAATGAAAATAATTCACCTGTACTTCCCCATATATAAACTTGTTTTTCTTTCGAGAAGACTATTTGAAACAATTGTTTGAGTAATTTAAAACAAATATGATTTTCAGGAGGTAAATGGCACATTTCAATAACATTAACAAGTGATAAGTTGTGCGGTAATAATATCTGTAATTGTATAAGGACTGGTTTGTTTGTTGTTCTATATATATTAACTGATTCAGTATCAAGAGTAAATTCAGTTGATGTTGTTGCAACTTGGATAAGTTGATGTAACGTTTGTTCAGGTGTTGTTCGATTAACAAAATATGGAATGTATGGTAAAGGTTCAAATGGTGGATATGCTGATGATAAATCATGTTCATGAATTTTGTGTTTGAGAGTTGAACGAAGATTTTTTCTGTACTTGCCAGTAATATCACTAGGCATATGTTTAAGTTGCCATACTGTTTTATTATATTCGTGTTCGGAGAGCATTGCTACAATAATAAAAAAATATATTATAAATATCGATTCTCGCAGAAATAGAGAATCTATAATTGAAAAAATGATCGATTCTTATAGAGAATAGGAATCTACAAGTGCTAACTGAGTCAAAAGACCAAAAAAACTTTTTCTTTCTTTCTTTTTTTTTTTTTTTTTTTTTCCCTCGACTGAAGGGAGGGTCATGCGAAAAAAAGTAAAAGAGTTTGTCTGTTCTGTCTGTTCTGTCTGTTTGCTGCAAGGTCAAAAAAACATTAGAAGGAAACTTTAATCAGGTGTACCTTCTAAGGTCTCAATACAGGATATCGAGGTCGGGAAATCTGATTTTCAGGTCGGATTTTACATTCGGTGTTCTCATTCGCTACAAAGTCGACCAATCAGAAATCAGTTTTTTTATTTTAAGGTTTTCGCACATTCTAATGAAACTTTACTATAGGTTATCGAGGGTCCGGATTCTGAATCTGAGATCGAATTTTACATCTAACCTTTCCATTGGCTAGAAAATCGACCAATCAGAAATCAGCTTTTTTTATTTTAAGCTTTTCACACATTCTAATGAAACTTTACTATAGGTTATCGAGGGTCCGGATTCTGAATCTGAGATCAAATTTTACATCTAATTTTTCCATTGGCTAGAAAGTCGACCAATCAGAAATCAGCTTTTTTATTTTAAGCTTTTCACACATTCTAATGAAATTTTACTATAGGTTATCGAGGGTCCGGATTCTGAATCTGAGATCAAATTTTACATCGGACATTTCCATTGGCTAGAAAGTCGACCAATCAGAAATCAGCTTTTTTATTTTAAGGTTTTCGCACATTCTAATGAAACTTTAGTATAGGTTTTCGAGGGTCCGGATTCTGAATCTGAGATCGAATTTTACATCGGACGTTTCCATTGGCTAGAAAATCGACCAATCAGAAATCAGCTTTTTTATTTTAAGCTTTTAGCACATTCTAATGAAATTTTACTATAGGTTATCGAGGGTCCGGATTCTGAATCTGAGATCGAATTTTACATCTAATTTTTCCATTGGCTAGAAAGTCGACCAATCAGAAATCAGGTTTTTTTATTTTAAGCTTTTCACACATTCTAATGAAACTTTACTATAGGTTATCGAGGGTCCGGATTCTGAATCTGAGATCAAATTTTACATCTAACCTTTCCATTGGCTAGAAAGTCGACCAATCAGAAATCAGCTTTTTTATTTTAAGGTTTTCGCACATTCTAATGAAACGTTACTATAGGTTATCGAGGGTCCGGATTCTGAATCTGAGATGAAATTTTATATCGGACGTTTCCATTGGCTAGAAGACCGATCAATCAGAAATTAGCTTTTTTATTTTCAGCTTTTCACACATTCTAATGAAACTTTACTATAAGTTATCGAGGGTCCGGATTCTGAATCCGAGATAGAATTTCACATGTGACATTTCTATTGGCTAGAGAGCCGACCAATTAGAAATGAGATTTTTTACTTTAAGCGTTTCCCACATTCTGATGAAACTTGACCGTAGGTTATCGAGGGTCACGATTCTGAATCCAAAATTGGATTTTAAATCTGTTTTTCCAATTGGCTAGGAAGTCGACCAATCAGATATGAGCTTTTTCATTTGAAGCTTTTCGCACGTTTTCGTGAAACTTTACTAGAGGCTATCGACGACTAGGATTCTGAATCCGAGATCGAATTTTGCATCTGATCTTCCCATTGGCTAGAAAACCGATCGATCAGAAACGATTTTTTTTACTAATAAAGTTACAATAGTTTAGAAAAGTTGAGGAAAGTAAATCGAGATCGAAGAGTCCGAATCTACAAGCGGTTTCTCAAAATTTCAAGCTCTTATTTTTACGTAAAATTCATTTTTATAAAAAAATCGTGGTCTTTGTGCAGAACTATTTTTCGAGGGATAAACCAATTTTTTTCAGAAAATAATGGTGCGAAAAGAATCAAACTCAAAATTTTGAAAACTCGATGACGCATTCAGATTCTTTGATCGTGGTTTACTTTCGTCAATCTCTACACAATATTGTTATTTTCTCAGAAAATCCTTTGTTTGACTGACAAAAATTCAAATCAAAATAACGAGAAACCAATTGTAGATTGAAATTCTCTCTCCACGGCCTACTTTCGCCAACCTATATGAAATATCGATTTTCTCGAAAAACACTTTCGCTCGTGAAAATTGGCTTGGACCAATAACCGTACCAACGGTTATTGTTGCGGGGGTGGGTGAGGGCTCAGATGGCTATGGTGTGAGTGTAGGTGTGGCTTTTTGGATATGGGTGTGGCGCGCCGGTTTGGGTGTACGTGGATGTATCTGTAAGTGTCGGTGTCGTTAAGCAGAGTATCTACACACCACTCACGCTCACACTTACATTCCACACGCATACCCATACTCACACTTTCATGTGCAGCACACTCATTGATTCCTATTTATCCAGTGTTTGTTATGTCTAATACTTTGTTTACGTTTCTGTTATACAGGGTGTTTCAAAAGTCCGTTTACAAAGTTTTTCCCTTTCGTGTCACTATTGACTAAACTTCATGCAACAATTTTTTTTTTGGATAATAGATAGATACACAGAGTTTTGATTTCTACGGACGAATTTCAAAAGCATTGTTGAAAGCTAAGACTTTTAGCTGAAATAGAAAAATTTGATCTGTTGTCTCTTTCCAGAAATACTCATGGATGATGTATGTTTTAATTGCTTGAATTTTGATTTGACACCATTCATATTGTTTTTGTAAAGACCGTCCAACTATCAGACATTTTAACGATTTGAATGACTCGATTACTCGAAGTAATTAAAAACGCTGTTAACGCAATCCCTTGCGGGATTAAAAATGTGAAACACGATGTACTCAGTAAGAAAGACTTATATACAGACCTGTAACTGTCGTTCTATAATATTTCTCGTACTCTTTGTTACTAAGAGAGATCACCTGTACTGTCTACAATGGTCTTTGTAACCTTCTGTTATGGGCCGTAATGTCCAGAGTTTCTCTCTGATGGTTAGCACTGCTCTGTGGAGTCTCTCTATTATGATCCGTACTGCTCTTTAGAATTTCTCTGTCAGACTCTGTGATGAGTATACAGCTTCTCTATCAAAGTCAGTTTTGTTCTCTGGAGTCTGTCTGTCATGGTTTATAATGCCTATAGAGTTTCTCTGTCACAGTTTGTGTCAATCTCCAGCCTCTCTCTGCCACGGTGTGTGATAGGTTCGGAGATTCTCTGTCACGGTCTGTGATGGGTATGGATTTTCTCTGTCAGGGTCTATAATGGTCTCTAGAGCCCCTCTCTATCACGGTCTGTGATGGGCATAAAGTTTGTCTGTCACGGTATGTGATGGGCATAGGGTTTCTCTGTCACGGTCTGTTATGGGTATGGGTTTTCTTTGTCACGGTCTGTGATGGTCTGTGGAGAGTCTCTATCACGGTCTGTGATGGGTATAGGGTTTCTCTGTCACGGTCTGTGATGGGTATAGGGTTTCCCTGTCACGGTCTGTGATGGGTATAGGGTTTCTCTGTCACGGTTTGTGATGGTCTCTGCAGTCCCTTTGTCACAGTCTGTGATGAGTATAGGGTTTCTCTGTCACGGTTTGTGATGTGTATGGATTTTCTCTGTCACGGTCTGTGGGGGGAGTGAGTGCAAGTTTCTACCCCTAAACACTTCAACACTCCTTTCAGATCGTGTTTCACAAAATAAAATGCTACGTAATGTTTTTCAGGAAAAAGGAAACAGGGTAAATTTTTGTATTTCGGCTACAGGTCTTAGCTTTGAATAATTCTTTTGAAATTCGTCCGTAGAAATCAAAACTCTGTGTATTTATCTATTATCCAAAAAAAATTGTTGGATGAAGTTTAGTCAATAGTGACACGAAAGGGAAAAACTTTTTAAAGGGACTTTTGAAACACTCTGTATATAAAAATCAGCGGCTAGATACTGAGTACATTGCGCAGTATTTTGGTACTTTGTTTTGGAAAATTTCAAATACTAAGTCCCTTTGTGTAGTACAAGTACATTTACTTCTACTGAAAAAGTGTACTTAAGAGAGGGTCCGTGAGAAGACCACCCCACTCTCCATATAGGTCGCCGGGGAAAAAAATTTTTTTTTCGATTTTATTTTCTTAAATGATAGGTCCAAGTAAACTATAGTTAAATCCAAAATATTAGCGCATTTGGTTTTACCTATGAAAAATGGGAGCTAAAACAAGTTTAAGGGGGTCAAAATTGACCCTAAAAAGTCGCTAAAAATGGGCGTGCTCAGTATTTTGATATTTTCTCATGAATGGTTTGACCGTTTGAGATCGGGCACATCTCATTAGATAGGGAACAGTATAGGCTACAAACTTATCCAATTTCGATGATTCATATCTAGGATAAAAGAAACGCTATAGATCAAAAACCTTCCAAATCTCAAGAAATTCGACACTGTGGGATAGCAGTATTTTGGGCTTTTCTTGAGTGGTGCAAGCGGTGCCAAACTTCTTTTTTTACCAGACATAGATCTTGTCAAGATACATCTTTTGGCATTAAATTGTCAAGACAAAAAAACTAGGGGGCCAAGTTAGCATAGACCACACTGTCCCCTACCCTACCTAGTCACCATTGATCCTACCCCACAAAGACATATAATTTCTACAGAAATCACGAAAATGGACTTCAGATTCGTATTCAGCTTGAAAAACTGACTTAGATAGGATATTTTAAATTCATCCCTTACCTGTACCAAGCGTGTTCAAGATCATGGGCCCGCCTCATGGATATATGATAGATATATGCCACGGTGTTTTGATAATAATTCACCAATACTAAT